ACATGTTTTGAAACAAGCTTTTTTGAAGATATATTAATCATAGCAACTCTAAGACACTGCATTAATCATGAATACTATATTGTGTATTAATAATAAAATAAAACACTAGACAGGGATCAAATTCTTCTGAAATATAAAATTGCACATTTGAAAATAGGTGAAGCAGCATATCTTTTGTGTACTCCAAACAAACTTCATAATATGAACCATTGGTTGCAGGTGGCATGACATACATGCCATGTTCTCTGTCATTATAGTCAATTCATTGCTTTTACACAGAAATAGCTCCACAAGTGCTTAGTCACCAAGGAGTCAATTGTTAGTCCTACGTATTTCACCTGTTTACCCATTTCCTGGATTTTTGTAAAGATTTGTTTTTATTCTTCATTGTTATTAGTATCTTCATATCTCAATTGATAGCATAAAAAAAAAAAAATCCACAAATTCAAGGAATAGGGAAATCAGGTGCAGTCTCTTGGGCCTACTAACTGACTCATTTGTGGCTTAGCATGCTTGGAGCTATTTATGTGCAACAAAATTCACAAATATGAAAATGCAGTGGTCAGTAAATGTGTCTGCAGCCAATAGGTTAAAACATTATTTGTAGTTTTGTAACTATTTCTAAACAGATAAAATTCATACAAATTTAGGACAAAAAATTCATGACCCTTACATTTTTTTTTCTTTTTTTCACAGACATCTGAAATAGCTAAAAAATGGTGAAATGATGCACCTACAATTCTTTACTTGCATTATAAAATAACTTACCAGAGAAATTTGTGCAAAAAAGCAGAATATCACAGCAAAGTTATTTTGAATAGCAGAACTTAAACCTGAGGTTAAAGTTGTACAAATAGAGAGAAACCAAGAGGTAAAACAAGAGGAAGCCAATGGTTAACCCTACTACCTAAAAAGCAAAAAGTATAAAATTAAAGAGACATACCAGAGTGAACTTCAGACCATAGAGATAATGAGTGATCAGAATATAGGCAAATCTGTACACTGGCTTGCGAGTAGGCTACCAAGCAGAGGACAGGCAGGGTGGGACAATAATATATACAGGTAATCCGTTATGCCAAAGTATATATATAGTGGGTGAGAGTTAAGTGAGCCAAGGACTTACGGTGCCTCAGAGGAATGACTTCCTTCCGATCTTTTGTTGGTGTCGTTAACACTATTGCTCGTCTTGCTTTGCTGGGTCGAGAATGTCTTTTATTTGAGGGGTTCATGTCTATGTAGTGGATCTGGAACTTATTGTTGTTCATTCTATTGTCATATGAGTGTGTACACTATAGATCAATTAAATAATGTCAGTTACATTTTGGATTTTAGTCGTTTCGAAACTTTATCTTAAAGGGTTGTATTGGGTTGATCCTGATAACCTTCATCCAATTTTCATATCAGTACTATGTACTAATTGAATTTCAGGCATGTCACTGAGCAAGGTGTGTAACTCTTCCATTCACTATATAGATTGAGTATAACATGCATTATCAATGTAATCTCAAGTTCTCTTGCCATCAATGTGATATATCATTAGTGCAAATTACCCAGCCCTTATATCAATCAGTGAACACATTTCTACACTATATCACAAATTTACTATTCATCTAACTTTGATAACGTACCATATTGAACTCTACATCATCATGTATGACTATATCTACCTTAACATATGCATTATGGACTTTATCATTAGCTCAAGTAATTATCATTGCACTTTTACACAAACTATTAGGAAGAAGATAACAACGCAAGCAATTACTACTACCTGATTCATAACTAAATATATCACTCACTTTGCGAACTTATCAAAAATCACTTCTATGACCTTCACGTCAATCATAAGACCTAATACTAAAAAAACGGATAATTTAGCATCAATTAACTACATAAATACTAGTAATATTTAATAATATCTCCCTTATTTAGACAAATCAATCTTGCACTACACTATAAGTAACTATCAACCGATACAACTTTATTCTAATACATATTCTTCATGCACAATCATCAGCTAAGAGAACTATCACAATATTAACACAACACCACAAGGCTTTTGCCTTATTCATATTACATCAGTCCTCTAAATACTCATTAACCACATACAACAGTCCAACACGACTATCTTCAAAGCTACTGATAACAGCAGTATATCACGACATCTCATACCCTCGAGGAGAGATATCACAAAAGTCATATATCATGAGAGCACATATTGTACTAACATATATAATGCAATCTACTCATATTTCTCACTAAAACGCTACATTACGTTCAACTACTACGCTAGCATCGCATCCACCCACGGATACACAGGCGAGCAAATACAAGAGAAACATATCACAGCAGAAGACACTACAACAACACCACTACTACATACACCACACACACCCTATACTACTTACACGTATGGTCATACCACCAAAGAACACACATCTACACACATCTACGCAAATGATATACACTACTACATCATTCACCTTCCATCATCTAAATATATCACCATACTAAATTACACATCATAACATCATTGCATTCCTGAACACACCATGTATCACATCATCACACACATTCTCAGCACACACACCTATCACACACATGCAACAACACACACTAAACAACCACATTCACACGCTACTAACACTAACAAAACACAACAACAAGCACACACAGCATATGGCATATACACAATAGAATGACACACCATACACAAATACACTTCACACAATAGAAATTTCTAATAACAATCACTTGAACCCTAAGATCAAACCACGAAACCGATGTCAGTAGTCTTTTATGCTAACGAGCCACCATCACTCGAAATCACAAAACACATCAACAACAAAATAACCTCACTCTCATTCCTCCGAAAACCTTACACTCAATCTGCGTCCAGCGGATCGGCGTGGGACTGGTTGACCGAGACTTTCATCACTTACGCTGTGCCATTGGGGGCATCTATTGATGTGGTGTCCCATAGATCTGTTGGGAGACACTGCAGCCACCAGGGGGAGGCAAGGCTAGCCTGGAGGGGGGTGGACATGGAGAGTGTTCGAAGCTTCGAAAAGGCCGAGTGGAGAGTGTATCGCTTGCACTGTAGTGCAAAGAGGCTCTTGGAGGGTGAAATGAGACCTCTAGTGGTCTTATTGTGCATTGATTTCCATCAATATAAAATAAATGTGTGAATGTAACCACCGCTTGAGCCATAAGATATTGGAAGGTACCGGTACTATAATACAGAAGCCATTACAAAACTGTCATAATGTCCATTTGTTTTATTTTAATATAATACAAGTTAAAATCAATGATGTTATTATATTTGTTGACCTTGATTATGCTGAGACAAACTGAAGTTATGGATCATACTAGTAGATCATATATATGGCATTTGTGCAACGGATAACACAGTACTGGATACACGGACCGGAACTAGGTAAAGCAAATCAAATGACAAATTTAACCACTTGGAAAGCAAAAAAATGGGTCAAGGCATTGGTTATATCGTCACCAATAACATGAATTGTTTTGACGCACATCCTGGCCCATAAGCCACATAGAGGCAGTGAAATATGCAATGAGGAAGTGGGTTAACATCAACATGTATAGTGTGTTACATCAGTAATCCATTAAAAAATGGTTGGTAGGACTTTGAGGACTGAAATAACGAAGAGGTAATTGGCGCTTAGTCGCCATTTCAGATGCTATGTCACCATTCACTGTTTGGGGGTTGAAGCAGAGACTGTCTGCTTATGTATAAGATAAGGTTTGGACGAGAACTCTTGGGCTGAGTAGTGAAACTTTCCACTACCAAAGCTCCTCCTGAACAGATGAATTGGTAGAGCCAATATGTCTCCTAGACCATATCTGACAGCCAGTACAATCAAGAAATAGTGATGAGTTGAGGGCTAAAATAAACATTTGGAGCTTAGTAAAAAAGATGCATGTTTCATCGAAAAAAATGGCATTACTTCAAGTCACAAGGTAGTAGACATATGTAGAGTACACATAAAGTTAGCAAGGTGGAGCATATGGATCCGGGAAGGCGAGTTGCAGATGTAGCATACCTAATAATGGCTGAGACCGTAATACGAGCCTAATCACTACCTTTATGCGCATACTTAATTCCAACATGAACAATATAACAAACAGCCTAAGCACAATACTAGACATTCACTAATGAACCATTAGCCACCTAGTATCCCAAAAAATTATCTGTTCTCCGGCCCTCACTCTAAGGTCAATTTAAAAATAAATAAAAAGCAGGCGTAGAAAATAGGACACGACTGTAGTGAGCGGCATGAGCATCATTGATGTGAGGAATGGGAGATAATATAGGCCCATGTCTATTGCACAAATCTTGAAGATAAAATGAAGACTAAGCCATCATACATAAAGAACACCTCGTACTCCTCAGTCGAAGGAGCGCTATCTAGAGAACGCACACATCGAAATTTTATATGAACATAACTATTTACACCTCGTATATGGTGTCAAGAATGAGCCATAACGTGTAAGAAATATATTCAAGATATGCAGCACCTCTATCCTATATCGCTATGGCAGCTGGGCAGATGAAACGAGGTCATATACTGCTAAATCTGAGTGAATAGGGATGGCTCCGCGTAAGACCGTTAAACATATTGATCGCTCATTTTTTCCTTCACTGGACATGACGAGTTACTAGACTAATACATCCATATGTGGGCTCTGGATGTCGAGCCGTGAAAATCCCTGGATATGCATTTCCTTTTTTTATTGTCCAAGACATTACCGCCTCAGGGGCACGTAACGAGTTGTTTGTTTCACATCAACCTGGATTCCATTAACATTGGAGTTATCTCTATCTCTCTTTTTTTATTGAAGAATATGTTTCGGTGACGAAAAATCAGCGGCGCCGCTTCAGAGTCGTGGCCGTCGGGCTTGATAAGGGAGGGTCCGCTTAAAACGTGGCTCTTCGCGTCTGTCTTCAAGCGGAAAGTCAGGTTCATGCCGACGGTGCTGTCCACAAAGAATGAGCCTTCGTATTCCGGGGTAGGTGTTTGGATCTTCGGTGTCTCCTCGATCTGGGGAAGGAGCGGGCGACGGTGAGGAAGGAGGCTTTGCAGAAGGAGGAGGAAACAAAGACGTGGCGCGCACGTCCAAGCATATTCACATTTATGCAAATACACACAATTATGCAAATCCTTTACATACATACAAACACACATACGAATGCAAACACATACATAGCCCATTAAAACACAAATAAATGCACGCAGACAAACACACGCACACACACAAGACGTCATACAACTTAAACACAAACACACGCGTCACATGCATAACATAACATACAGCATCAGATAAATACATAATACCACTAAATTCTAGTAGCAGTCCTAAACACATCTTGACATTTCACATATATACACATCGGTTATACAAACCTCAGGCTATACGTCGAAAATGCATAACACAGGGAATACCACACTGGATGCTAACAAGTTGATTATACATAATCACACACCTAACGCATCGCTTTACGACAAGTAGTGGCACACAGAACCACATTAACACATTATATATGAGAGCGAGATGCAATGACGTAGCTGCTATATACATAAAGACACTATCAAACATGGTCATAAACATAAGAACAACACACCAAAGCGGTAAATATACTACCAGTAAATTATCTACGCGCAGGAAAGCATAAATGACATTAACATAATTAGAAAACAGCGCAACGTCACAGGGAGCGAGGGGAAGTGGGATAGAGGAAAAGTAGAAAGTATGGACGGAGAAAAAAAAATAAAAAAAGAAGAAAGGAGAGAAAAAAAGAAAAGAGAAGAAAAAAAAAAGAAAAAAAGACCGCACGCATAAGGAAAGAGCACAGAATGCAACGTGCAACAAATTACATGACTAATAGGTCTGTCAATCCTCCATTCATTCACTCATTTGCCCATATACCCAGTCACCCATACAGACATCTAGACATCCTCTCACTCAGTCACACATTTATTCCTTCAACCAGTCTCTCATTCATCCTTTCACCCCTTCACCCAGTCCCTCATTCACCCTTGTACCCCCTCCACCCTCTCACCCCCATCAGTCTTTTCACCCACTGATCCGGTCACCCTTCATCCAGTCCCTCATTCACCCTTTACCCCGTCCACCCCTTCACCCAGTCAGTCTTTCACCCACTGATCCGGTCACCCTTCACCCAGTCCCTCATTCACCCTTTACCCCTCCACCCTTCACCCAGTCAGTCTTTTCACCCACTTGATCCGGTCATCCTTCACCCAGTCCCTCATTCACCCTTTACCCCTCCATCCCTTCACCCAGTCAGTCTTTCACCCACTGATCCGGTCATCCCTTCACCCAGTCCTCATTCACCCTTACCCCTCCACCCCTTCACCCAGTCAGTCTTTCACCCACTGATCCGGTCACTCCTTCACCCAGTCCCTCATTCACCCTTTACCGTTCATCCCTTCACCAGTCACTCACCCTTTACCCCGTTCATCCCTTCACCCAGTCAGTCTTTCACCCACTGATCCGGTCACTCCTTCACCCAGTCCCTCATTCACCCTTTACCCCCTCCACCCCTTCACCCAGTCAGTGACCCTTCACCCTTCACCCAGTCAGTCTTTCACCCACTGACCCGTCATCCCTTCACCCAGTCCCTCATTCACCCTTTACCCCTCCACCCTTCACCCAGTCACTCCTCCCACTGATCCGGTCACTCCTTCACCCAGTCCCTCATTCACCCTTTACCCTCCACCCCTTCACCAGTCACCCTCCACTCCTTCACCAGTCAGTCTTTCACCCACTGATCCGGTCATCCCTTCACCCAGTCCCTCATTCACCCTTTACCCCCTCCACCCCTTCACCCAGTCAGTCTTTCACCCACTGATCCGGTCACTCCTTCACCCAGTCCCTCATTCACCCTTTACCCCGTTCATCCCTTCACCCAGTCAGTCTTTCACCCACTGATCCGGTCATCCCTTCACCAGTCCCTCATTCACCCTTTACCCCCTCCACCCCTTCACCCAGTCAGTCTTTCACCCACTGATCCGGTCACTCCTTCACCCAGTCCCTCATTCACCCTTTACCCCATCCCTTCACCAGTCAGTCTTTTCACCCCTGACCCGGTCATCCCTTCACCCAGTCCTCATTCACCCTTTACCCCCTCCACCCCTTCACCCAGTCAGTCTTTCACCCACTGATCCGGTCACTCCTTCACCCAGTCCCTCATTCACCCTTTACCCCTCATCCCTTCACCCAGTCAGTCTTTCACCCACTGACCCGGTCATCCCTTCACCCAGTCCCTCATTCACCCTTTACCCCCTCCACCCTTCACCCAGTCAGTCTTTCACCCACTGATCCGGTCATCCCTTCACCCAGTCCCTCATTCACCCTTTACCCCCTCCACCCCTTCACCCAGTCAGTCTTTCACCCACTGACCGGTCATCCCTTCACCAGTCCCTCATTCACCCTTTACCCCCTCCACCCTTCACCCCAGTCAGTCTTTCACCCACTGATCCGGTCATCCCTTCACCCAGTCACTCATTCACCCTTTACCCCCTCCACCCCTTCACCCAGTCAGTCTTTCACCCACTGACCCGGTCACTCCTTCACCCAGTCCCTCATTCACCCTTTACCCCGTTCATCCCTTCACCCAGTCAGTCTTTCACCCACTGATCCGGTCATCCCTTCACCCAGTCACTCATTCACCCCTCCACCCCTTCACCCAGTCGACTCACCTTGATGAAGGATTCCTCCAGACTGACCGACTGCTGGCGGGTGGAGACGCCCTCGAAAGCATTCTCGAGGGCGTTGGACACGTCGTTGTCGTTGACGGTGAAGGAGGGGCACTTGGTGAGGTCCCCTAGCTTCTCGAGGTCCTTCGCGGCGTTGCCCCTGCAGAAGGAGGGAGGGGGGCGCGGAGATTAGTGATTTAGTTTACCCTCTTCAGCCATGGATTCAGTCGCTTCTTTATCAATTGGTTCGGTGACCCATTGATCCCTTCACTCCTTGATTCAGTCACCCACTGATTCCTTCACTCATTGATTCAGTCACCCACTGGTTCCTTCACTCATTGATCCCTTCACTTCTCAGCATTGATTCAGTCACTTCTTTACCCATTGCTTCAATCATCCATTCAGTCATCTCTTCATCCATTGATTCAGTCACTTCTTTATCCATTGCTTCAATCACCCATTCAGTCATCTCTTCATCCATTGATTCAGTCACTTCTTTATCCATTGCTTCAATCACCCATTCATCCCTTCACTCCTTGATCCAGTCACCCCATCATCCATGAATTCCCCTTTTCACCCATTCACTCACTCACCCATGCGAGTCCAAGAGGGAAGACGTATATCAAATGAGGGTATGCGCGGCCAAAGGTGTTCTCAGACGAATTGGATTAATGAAGAAAGAGACAGAAAAGGAAATGTAGAAGGAACAGCTAAAAACAAAACAAACCAAAACAAAATAAAATGAAATAGATAAATCAAGTAAAACGATGAAGAAGAACAGATAGAGATAGAAAGATAGATAGATAGATAGAGAGAGATCTAACTCACGATCCACCTGCCACCGTACTCCTCGTTGATAAAAAAGAAAGAAAAACCGAAGAGGAAGCAAAGAAAAGATAACGTCGATGATAATAAAAAGTAAACGAAATAAAACAAAAATTAGAAAAACAGCAAATCTTACCCCAGAGCCAAGGTGCTGACGCAAAGTTTCTTGCTGATGATTTCGTCCATCACATCGGCTATCATCGGTGCTTCATTCTCCTCTCCGTCTGTGATGAGGAAGACGTTCTTGTCCGACCGTCCCTCCAACAGCTGGACCAGGGAGAGATAGAGAGATGATTTGGATGGAGAGACAGAGAAGATAAAAGAGAGAGAGAGATGGAGAAGGAAGGGGTGAGAAAGAGACATTATTTGGATGGAGGGAAGGGGTGAGAAAGAGATATTATTTGGATGGAGAGAGAGAGATGGAGAAGGAAGGGAGGAAGGTGGAAGGGGTGAAAAAGACGTTCTTGTCCGCTCGTCCCTCCAACAGCTGGACCAGGGAGAGAGATAGAGAGATGATTTGGATGGAGAGAGAGAGAGATGGAGAAGGAAGGAAGGGAGGAAGGTGGAAGGGGTGAAAAAGACGTTCTTGTCCGCTCGTCCCTCCAACAGCTGGACCAAGGAGAGAGAGATGATTTGGATGGAGAGAGAAAAGATAAAAGAAAAGAAGAAGGGGGAGGGAAAAAGAAGATGAGGGAAGGAAGGGGAAAGAAGGGATGGAGAGAGATGAGGAAGGATATGAAGGAAGGAGGGAGGAAAGGTGGCAGGGAGAGAGAGAAAGGCAGAGGGAGAAAGGGGGGAAGTAGAGAGGGAGGGAGGAAAGGAGGAAGGGAAGGAAAAAAGGAGTGAGGGTAAGAGGAAAGGACTGTGGGAAGGAAGGAAGAGAGGGAGGAGGGTGGGAAGAAGGGATGATAATGATAATACTAATACTACGAAGAATAATGACAATAACAATAATAATGTTAGTGATAATAATAATGTTAATGATAATGATAATAATCATTATGATAATAATAATCATCATGATCATATAGATAATGATAATAGTAATATGAATATGATGATAATAATAATAATGATAATAATAATAATCAATAATAACAGCAATAAAGTTAATGGTAATGATATCAATAAAGATTAATAATGATACTAATAAGGATGGTAGCAATGAGCATCATGATGATGATGATAATGACAATAAAATTAATAACAATGATAATAAAAACAATAATGATAATGATAATAACCCCTTCCCACTCTTCCCTCCCCTCTCTTTTCACCCTTCCTTCCTCCCTTCCCTCTTTCCATCCCTCCCTCCCTTCCTTCCCTCTTTCCTTCCCTCCCTTCCTTTCCTCCCTGCCTCCCTCCCTCCTTCGCTCACCTCAACAGCCATCTTCAACCCAGCGCCGATGCTCGTTCCGCCATTATTATTCGTGTGAATCTGATTCGCCAGGGACTTCCTCTCTGTTTCTCCCACGATCTTCGTCAGCGGGGCGAGGAGGGAGGCGGTGCTACTGCAGGGGGGGGAGGGGATCGAGTTAGCGGGGAGATAAAAGAAAAGATGCTCTGAGTAGCGGGGAGATAAGAGAACAATAGAGAGAGATTCTGTGTAGCGGGGAGATAACAGAAGAGATACTCTGAGTAGCGGGGAGATAAGAGAAGAATAAAGAGAGATTCTGTGTAAATGAAAGATGAGAGAATAAAAAAGAGATTCTGTGTAGCGGGGAGATAAGAAAAAAAGAGATTCTAGTGGGGAGATAAGAGAAAAAAGAGATTCTGTGTAGCGGGGAGATAAGAGAAAAAAGAGATTCTGTGTAGCGGGGAGATAAGAGAAAAAAAGAGATTCTGCGTAGCGGGGAGATAAGAGAAAAAAGAGATTCTGTGTAGCGGGGGGGTAACGGAAGAGATACTCTGAGCAGCGGGGGATAAGAGAAGAATAAAGAGAGATTCTGTGTAAATGAAAGATGAGAGAATAAAAAAGAGATTCTGTGTAGCGGGGAGATAAGAGAAAAAAGAGAGATTTTGTGTAGCGGGGTGATAATAGAAGAAAGATTCTGAGTAACGAGGAGATAAGAGAAAGCAAGAAATTCTGAGTAGCGGGGTGATTGCAGAAATAAAGAGATTCTGAGTAACGGGTAGAAGAGAGGAAAAAGACTGAGTAGCGGGGAGATAACAGAAGAGAAGAGACCGAGTAGCGGGGAGATATGAGAAAAGACACTCTGGGTGGCGGGGAGATCAGGGAAAAGAGATTCTGTGTAGCGGGGAGATCCGAGGAGAGACTCAAAGTGGCGTGGAGAGCAGAGTAAAGATATCTTAAGCGGAAAGGGGGAGACTGGAAACGATTAGAAAACGTAGATTTATCTCATCTGTTACATCCATCTACTTCATTATCATTATTATAACTGTCGTTATCATCATAAAATTGTTTTTATTTTATAATCTTTGTTACTAAGAAAGTAGAGAGAGACACATAAATAACTTTTACAAAAAAACACACACGCACATATGCATATGTGTGTATATATATGTATACATATATGTATGTATATGTTGTGTGTGTGTGTGTGTGTGTGTTGTGTGTGTGTGGTGTGTGTGTGTGTGTGTGTGTGTGTGCCCCTCAACAAGCTATCAAAAAAATGGTTACTTACTCAAACCTCACAATGGCCACCGAGCTGTACAACGGCACCTCGTGAAGCAACCATCTCTGCGCCGCTAGCTGGAGTTTGACCATTCTGTCAGCGGTCGACATACTGCCTGAATAGTCGAGTACCAAGACATAATCGGCGTCGGTTTCTCTGACCACTTTGATGTTGGGTTCCTCCGCCTGAGAGATCGCTGGGTTACTTCAAAAGAGAGAATGAGAGAGAGAGAGTTAGAAGAAAATGAGGATTTTTTGGTCTTTCTTTTTTTATGAATGGATAAAGTGTGTGATTATTACCGTCTTTTAAGAGAGTGAAGTTAGTTTCTTATTCATTTACCGCTGGGTTAATTCAAAAGGGAAAATAGAGAAAGAAATAGAAAAAGCGGATTTTTTGGTCTTTATTTATGGATAGAGAAAGGGTGTGATTATTACTGTTTTTTAAGGGAAGGAATTTAGTTTCTTATTTATTTACCGCTGGGTTACTGCAAAAGGGAGAATGAGAGAGAGAGGTTACAGAAAAAGAGGATTTTTTGGCCTTTATTTATGAAAAGATAAAGGGTGTGATTATTACCGTCGTTTAAGGGAATTATGATAATGTTGATAATAATTCTAATAGATGTTTTAATAGAATAGTTTCTTATTTATTTACCGCTGGGTTACTTCAAAAGGGAGAATGAGAGAGAGAGGTTACAGAAAAAGGGGATTTTTTTTATAATTGTTTCATATGGGAACGAGTTCACTGAGGCTACACTTTGATGAATAATTCTATTGGGATAGAGACCGCGAACTTCACACAAATGGAGAGTTTACGATACAGGTATTTTCGTTTTCTTATCCCTTTCAAATATACTGAGAGTTTAAAGGTCAGATTTATCCATATATATATATATATATATATATATATATATATATATATAATATATATAATATATATATATATATTTCTTTAGCTCACTAGACTGATTCATTGAAATGTCTAAAAAAAATTAAAGTTTCTAGAAAATCCAAAAAAAAAAAATCAGAAAATTCTAGAATAGAAATAAAAAAACGAAATTCCAGAAAAAACGAAAATTTCTGAAAATTCTAGAATATAGATAAAAATCCGAAAAATCCAGAACATCCTTAAAAAAAAAAAAAAAAAAAAAAAAAAAAAAAAAAAGCAAAAACTCACGCATTTCCCTTGAAGTCGGAGTGTTGCAGCATCACCTCCCAGACCGATTGCCCGTCGCACCGGTCGTTTCTGCTTGGTCTTGGCGAGGCTGTTGTGCGTGTGGTCGTCGCAGAATTCGACCAGCTGGAACCAGTTGACAAAATTGGATTTTTTTTTTTCTATTTTGAGGTGAGAGAGGTAATGTTTTTTTTTTTTTTTTCTGCGTTCTTATTATTCATCATCTTGATATTTGATTGTCGCGCGCACACACATACACACGAACAACACCCACCCACACACGCACAAACATACACCCACACAACCCCCCCCCCAACACACAACACACACACACACACACACACCACACACGCCCACCACACCCCTCCCCTCCCCCCCCCCACACACACACACCCTCCTCCCCCCCCCCCCACCCCCCACACATCATAAACGAGTCTCACCGTATCGCTAAAGACGGGAACGACATGAGCGACGACGTGGCGGTCTGGTTGGCGTCGGGGAAGAAGACGCAGTCGCCGTCCGGGAGGCCCTCGTGGGTGTACGTGCACCGCATCGATTCGTCGAACCACATCCTGCGAAGGGAAGGAGGAACTGGGTCATTTGCTTGTTTATTATTTATTTATTTTATTTTTTAAATTTATTATTATTATTATTTATCATCATTTATTATTGTTATTATTGTTATTATTATTATCATCATTTTATTACTTTATTATTATTTTACTATTGATATTATCATTATTATTATTATTATTATATTATTGTTTAATTTTCTATTATTATTTTTGGGGGGTGCATGAAATATACTCATTTGTTTATTGGTTATTATTTCATTTTATTTATTTTTTTTATTATTTTACTAGTTTTATTCCATTTTATTAGTTTCTATTCTTTTATTATTTATTTATTCATTTATATGATTAAATATCTTTTTTATTATTATCATAATTATTATTATTGTTTAATTTTCTATTATTATTTTTGGGGGGTGCATGAAATATTCTTATTTGTTTATTGGTTATTATTTTCATTTTATCTTATATTTTTTTGTTTTTATTTCATTTTATTATTTTACTAGTTTTATTCCATTTTATTAGTTTCTATTCTTTTATTATTTATTTATTTATTCATTTATATAATCAAATATCTTTTTTATAGATTCCAGTCTTTTGCATATTTGTCAATATCTGTCTCTAAGAACACAAACACAAACAATAACTTGTGCACACAAATGAAAAGGAAAACAGCCACAATAAGAAATGAAAATTTTATGTTTCGAACTCTTCACCAGTTCCTCCTCAGACGAACAATTAACCAGCTGATTGTTCGTCAGAAGAGGAACCCGCGGAGTGTTCGAAACGTAACGCTTCATTTTCCTTTCTCATTGTGGCTGTTTTCCCTTTCCATCTCTCCCTCTTTATCAAACCCTCCGCCCACCGACCCCCTCGCCGTTCCCTACCTTTCCTTCCCGTTGAGGTAGGTGTCCGTACAAACGTTCACCTGATACACGACCTGGTTCTGGACGTCGGTGCGGCCGTCGGCGACCTCTCTCGGCAGCGAAAAGAAGATGGGGTATTTGGGGTCGCCGCTGTACCCGATTTCGTCGTACACTCCCCAACGCAGTCTGGCCCACTCCATCACGAGGACCTTGGCTGGGGAAGGGAGAGCGGGGGCTGGCTATGGGTTCCAAGTTCGATGTCGAGAAATGGGTGTAAAAAAATAGGTGTTAAGGAAGGAGTGTTTAAAAATAAGTGTTAAGGAAGGGGTGTTTAAAAATAAGTGTTAAGGAAAGAGTGTAAGAAAAAAAAATAAGGTGTCAAGGAAACGTAAAAAAATAGGTGTCAAGGAAGGAGTGTAAAAATAGGTGTTAAGAAAGGGGTGTAAAAAAGAGGGGGTGTCAAAGAAAAGGTGTAAAAATTGTCAAGGAAGAGGTGCAAAAAAATAAAAAAATAAAAAAATAAAATAGTGTGTCAAGGAAGGGGTGTAAAAACAGGTGTCAAGGAAGGGGTGTAAAGAACAGGTGTCAAAAAATAGGTGTTAAAAACAAGTATCAAGGAAAGTGTCAAACAACAGGTGTCAGTTAACCACCTTTCACTCATCCTAGACACACACGCACGAACTTAACCATTCTTTTCATTTTCTTTTCTTCGCATCATTGAATAAAGTTGGAATCAATGTACGTCTCTGTGTCCAACCCTGGCTACTTTAAATTCTGGCAACACTGAGTCTCTCTTTCTCTCTGTCTTTCTCTTTCTCTCTCCTTCCCTCTCTCTTTCTCGCTTTTCTCTTCCCCTCCCCCCCTTTCTCTCTCTCTCTCTCTCTTCCCCTACCCCGTCCTCTCTCTCTCTCTCTCTCTTTCTTTCACTCTCTCTCTTTCTCTTGTTGTCTTTGTCATTCTCGCTCCTTCCCTCTCTCTCTCTTCCCCTCCCCCCTCTCTCTCTCTTTCTTCCCCTCCCCCCTCTCTCTTTCTTCCCTCCCCCCTCTCTCTCTCTTTCTTCCCCTCCCCCCTCTCTCTCACCTGGTGGCCCGTAGTAATAAGAGTAAACCTGCTCCTTAAGGTAAGCTGGTGTCATATGGATGAATTCGCCTGGGTCGCCACACTCTCCGGGTTGTCTCGTGTACGGCTGGTTCTCATACACAGGGTTTGGGTTGTCTATTCGTAGCTCGCTTTCCTGTAGGACGAGGGCGGGTCGTGAGGACAACGAAGGGCGGGGGGGGGGGGGGGGGCGAAGGTGGTGGTACGAGGAAAGAAGAGGTTGAAGAAGAAGAAAAAAAATATAAACAAAGAAAGACTTTCCGTAAGATTTGCATTCTGAACTTCACTCTTTAATAGATACCTTTGACTGAGGAGGAAATCTGTATTCATATTAATCAATTTCTTAATTATTCATCAATTTATTTACGTTTAGTGTTTTATTTTTTATCTATTTATCTATTCAGCATTCCTAATATGATTGTGCATTCCAATCAAGACGCTCAGTATCTTTGCGAGAGTTACAGGAAATAAAAGAGCATCTTCCTCACTCATTTCTTGGTAAGGATACCGAACTAGTCAATGGTTAGTGATATAGCCTAAATTGGTTTATTTTCTTTTGTCAGATTGCTTAAAAAGGAAATAAAAATATATTTTTAAAACCGAATGAAGAATGTTGAGAGAAGAGGAAGATGAAGAAGAGATAAATCCTATTTATATGCGGAAACAAAATATAACACTAAAACTAATAATAAACAAACAAACAAAATACTAAAGACATACCATAAACACTAACAGCATGTCAAACACACCAATAATATAACAATAAACACCAACATACTCAATCCAGTGACAACATAAAAAGACACTGACAACATACTTCAATCACGAACATTTTACCAGAATCACCAAAGGCATACTAAAAGCACTGACATTTGAAACCAACGAACATTATGCTAGGATCACTAAAGGCATACCAAAGCACAGATAACATACGTAAAATCACGAGAATAACGCTACAATCACCAAAGGCATACTAAAAAAACGACAGCATTTGTAAATCACGAACATTATGCCTGAATCACTAAAGGCATACTTAAATCAGCATTCTTGAATAATGAATACTATACCAAAATCACTAAAGGCATAGTAAAACACTGACAACGTACTAAATAAACTATGAAATTAGAAACACTGCTATACCAAAAACACTAACAGTATACCAAAAAGCTAATGTCATACTAAACATACAAACAAACAAACGAACGAAAGCACCCCTTCAAATACAAACTAAATAAGACAAAAAATAAATAAAAATAAATAAAATGAAATAGAATAAAACTAAATAGCCAAAAAGAACAACAACCAAAAAAGAGATATGAAAAAAAGCGTCCACCAAACCTTTAAAAGACTCGAACACAGCGACCTCGTCCGTATCCGTGTTCGACCACGACTTCGGGATCACGATGCGCACATCCCTGAAGAAGGCCCTACTGCGGGTAGCGGTAAAAAGGACCTCAGAGGCTTTCTTGATCGCATCCTGCAATAGGGAGAGAAGTAGGAGGTGATCCTTAAGGGTGGCTTGGCCTGGGGAGCGGGGGGGGGGTGAAGTAAGAGGAAGGGTATCCTGCGGTCTACTTGCGGGGGGGGTATGGGGGTGTCTCTTGTCTTCCATCCTTCGAGAATTTCCTTATTATTATTATTATCATTATGATCATCACTATCTTATTATTATTATCTTTAGTTTGATTATTATTATATTATTCATTTTTATCATTATCATTGTTATTATGTTATGATTATTGTTATTATCGTCATTACTATAATTATTATAAATGTTGTTCTTATTGATATATTATTATATTAGTATTATCATTATCATATCACTGTCATTATTTTTATCATCAATTGTATTATTATCACTATCATTATCAATTATTAATAATCAATTGTATCATTATCATTTCTATATCAGTATTATTATCAATTGCATTATTAAGTATTACCATTATCATATATGGTATTATTATTGTTATCATTATCCCCATCATTATTCTTGGTATCATTATCCTAAGCATTCTTGCTATCATTGTTATCATTATTTTTCCATTATCATTAACAGTACTATTAGTATCATTAGTATTGCTGTTATTATTTCCCTATCATTATTATTGTTATCATGATCCTAAGTATTCTTGCTATCATGATTCTGTTATTGTATTCTCATTATCATTATTAGTTCCTGTTATTATTTCTTATCATTATTATTGTATCATCATTTATTATTGTTGTTATTACTATTATCATTATTATTGTTATCATCATTATCAGTATCATCATTATTGTTGTTGTCATCGTTTTGGTGTTGTTATTATTTTTATACATGTCTCTCGATAGTTAAGTTTTTCATACTAATTACTAATTATCATAGAAAACGTAATCATCAAGCTAATAAGGCTTACCAAATGCCACCAGTGAAAAGTTTTACAATTTCATGCTACTTAATCTTGTAATAATTGTAATATTGTTCCCATTCTTCCTTATTTCCTTTCCTCTATTGATATCCACCTTGTTATCTCCTTTTTTTTACTGTCTGTTTGGGTATCTCTCTCTCTCTCTCTCTCTCTCTCTCTCTCTCTCTCTCTCTCTCTCTC